CCCCCCCCGGGGGGGGGTTCAGGGGGTGGTGCCCCCCCCCCCCCGCAACATGGGCTGGAACTGGCCCTGAAAAATGAAGAGAACCACTTTGAAAAAGTGTCCCCAATCCCCAACCCATGGAGCCGGCTGAGAAGGATACCATGGTCAATGGTATTGAAAGCCGCTGAGAGATCAAGGAGTACAAGGATGGACGTACCACCTCCATCCTGGCTCTGCCACAGGTCATCAACAAAGGCAGCCAAAGCGGTCTCAGCACTAAATCCCAGCCTGAAAATCATTTGAAGTGGGTCTAGATAATCCATTTCCTCAAAGGCTCTCATCAATTATAGACAGACCACTTCTCAACAACAACAAAAAGGTTGGAGACTGGTTGATAGTTGTCAAACACTCTTGGGTCCAATGATGACCTCTTGAAGAGGGGGTTTACCACTGCTTCTTTGGCAAGAGGTACCACCCCCTCCATCAGAGAAGCCAAGAGCATGACATGGACCCAACCATGGTCACCTACCTGGCTGCTTTTATGACTGAGAAGGGGCCTGGATCCTGTAAACAGGTAGCCAAGCTGACAGCACAGGGGACCCTGTCTACTTCCAAGGAAGTCAAGTGAGTTTGAGTCACCAGCTCAAACTCATCCTAGATTACACCCCCCAGACTGTGCCCCAGGCACCTCAGCCTGCCCTGCTCAGGCACAGTCCAAGGCAGAGCAAATTTGAGCAACTTTATCCTCCAGATAGCCTGAATAAACCTCACAGTGGCCCAGCAGATGTTCCAAGGGACCCTCCCTACCCAAAAAGGACTGGGTCACCCTGAACAGGACCACTGGAGGGCTATCAGAGGATGCAATAAGGACTGAGAAATATTGGCAAATACTATTATACAGTAATACCACAAATCTGGTCAGATAATGATGTCCCATAGCAATACTACCCCCCCCCCCCGGGCAACAGAGTCCCCCTTGCCTTATCTAATAGTAGCAGACACCGTCAGCCAGTGTTAGAACTTCTAGATTACATTCACCTCTTCTTTTTCTTTTTCTTTCTTTTCCACTTGCCTTTTTGCATTTCCTGCCTATGCCTCATTCTTTGCCCCTCTATTAAGTGGATACTCACAAACCTACTAAATGCAGTCTGCTCTTCCCTGTTTTGTTCATATTGTTACAGGGGTGGAAAGTAAGAACCTCATTCTCTAGACGCAGACTTTTTGGAGGCTGTGGGCACTTTTTGAATACTGAGGTGTAGAAATGTCCACATCTTAGCCTCTGAGGATTTACTAATCCAGTTTACCTTTCTCTTCTTCTGGGCAGGGGATACGTTCTTCAAGCACCCTTCATTTTGATTTTCTAAGAATGCTTCTGAGACCCAAGTCCTGATTGTTCCTGGATACCAATCTACTACAGGACAGATCCAGAAGAGAACATCAGAGAATATCACTTACCACTAGGTAGTTTTCAGGAAGACCATTCAAACACATCCTCAGTGATTTGCAGACATTCCTTAATACTGACACTTCCCTTTCACTGTCCTTGGGTGACAGGCCTGCCCTCGGTTACAGACTGTAACTCAAACCAAAACAGCTATAAAATGAATGACAACAAACCACACCACAATGGAAGTGACACAAGAGCCTAATAACGTCACCCACAACATCAGGGCTTCCTCCACTGCTCATCTTCCAGGGTCACGGAGGCTGTCACCTCTTGGTACAGTGACCATATTTTCTTGGTAAAAATAAAGGACAAACCTGAAAAAGGGGCAAATCTGAAAGAGGTTCATAAGAATAAAAAAAAACAAAACATGTTTATAATTTTGCTTTACAAAGGAAAATTCAAGAGCAAACGCAAAAAAATAAATAATTAAATAAATCTAAAGAGCAGTTTTCTGAAATAAAAGAATGCCCTTTATTATAAAGGATGTGTAGTCACTGTACCTACTGGGAATGTTTCACATGCTTGATGTTGGACAAACTGACCACTCCTTGGTGGAAGAATCAGTGGGCTCTCCCCACTCAAATGCTTTGTGGGAAGAGGCATGACATCATCCTGTCAACTGGGGAATGGCATTTATTTCAAAAGATAATTTTTTACTGGAAAACTATGGAGACACCAGTAGGGATCCCTCTGAGGAAAACAAATGCTGTGTGCTGTTACTGTATGACCATCACCACAAAAGATCCCATTCAGATCAAGAGTGTACTAGGAGTATGTGGATCCCAGTAAGTAAGGACTGCCAGACAAGAACAAGAAACGAGGATCTCTTTGTTTCACACACTGCATAATTCCAATGGCTCATCTCCACAGAGACCTGGGGATTTATATGGAAATTTGGGTAGATTTCAGCATGCTTTTCTTCAACCAACTTTTGGCATGTTTTCAGTGTAGGATTACCACACCTGGACACCCACAAGATGGAAGCAATTATATATTGATCTAGTTCCATGATGCCATCTAGTGGGCATCCAGGGTTTTGCAGCCCAGGTATCACAGTGCTATTGTTGTACATCCCTATTGTTCCCAATACACATATACCCTAAAATGAAATGGAAGCCCACAGGTATGATCAAATACTCATGTTACAATCTCTGCATTGATGGTATATATATTAATTCTTTCTTGGAAATGCCTTGTCCTGCAGTAGTCTCCCAGACGCTCTACTACAGTACTCTCAAGTAGGCCTTTGGGTGTAGAAATGGGCATTTGGGAAAGGCAGGAATAAACATACCATCAATCAATGGTTGGGAATTACGGGAAGAGTCATAAGGCACCAGGTAGAGAAAATGCCTTAAATTCAGAAGAGCTGCCAACTTTCTTCCTCCTAAACAAAGCATCAAATGGAAGGAAGGTCCTTCCCTATGGAATGGCTTTAACTAAATGGAGGATGTGCTGGGAATACGGGGAGGCGCCCGGAATTTGCCTCTTTTTAAAGGACCACGAGGATGCCGTGCTCTCCAAAGAAATGAAACGCCGCATCACGGAGCTCTAGCCAAGCCACGAGCCGTAAGAGCGCAGGCCTCCGGCTACCGCGGGGGATTTCTTCCAGGGGCAAAACCAGGCCAGCTTTCCCGTGCGAAGGCCGAGAAACCGGCCGCCCAATCGGGTCTCCGAGGGGCGGGCTTGGAGGCCGGCCCAGGCTGATTGTTCGGCGGGTGGCGGTGCTCACTCCATCCGGACGGCTGGCTGCGAGAGAGAGCTCGCCGCGGCGCCTTGAGGCTGCGATGGATCCCCTGCAGATAGGCCCTCCTCCCCCGCCGCGGTTCTTCAGCTGGGACGAGATCAAGTCCTACTCGAGCAGGGCGCCGGAGCGGTGGCTGGTGATTGACAGGAAGGTCTACGACATCAGCCGGTTCCACAAGAGGCATCCGGGGGGCTCCCGCGTGATCAGCCATTATGCTGGACAAGACGCCACGGTGAGAGACGGAGGGAGCGAGAGAGAGGGAAGGAAGGAGGACTGTCTCCAGGAGACCCCTCTGGGCGGCTGTCGGGGACCTGGGAGGGAAAGCGAGGGGAGGGGCGGGGCGGCAGAGATCCTTTGTGAGCATCCTCGGCATTGATGATGGAGGCTGGGAGAACGCTTGCAGAGAGCTTGGTCGGAGGCATGGGTGCAAAGACGCTTGAAAGACGAGATGTTTTGGGAGTGGCGGAACAGAGTATCCGGGAGCTAAATAAATGCACTTCCTTGTATCACAGTCCACATTATGCTTACTTGGAAATAATCGCTACGTTGTGCAAATCTTTCCAGGAGGGGCATTGTGGCCTGCACCTTCCTTGAACTACCTTGGAAGGTTCCACCCAGCCACGCTGAAGTCCTTCGTATGGGAGGACCGTCCTGTCCTCAAATGCTTTATGATCCATTTGTTATTTGGATCAAAATTAGAGAAGGGGCAACAGTAAGCCTCTGCTCTGGCCACAAGGTGCAGAAGAACTAACAGCAGCTCCTGAGTGGTGAAAGAAAGAACACTCTGCACATGTTCAGAACAACAGTGGCTCAGTGGCTGAGTTTTGGGAGCAGCAGTGATCCAAATAAAGGGAATAGACTGGAGACCTTCTCAGAAATGCAGAGTGGTAGAATGACTTGCAGGATGAAAGAACTTGTTTAAGAGTTCATGTAAGGGAAACATTTTAACATGGCATGAGTGTTCCTGGGCTAGAGGAAAACTTGTACAGTACTGTATTATCACCACCATAGGCTCTAATCCAAGAAAATGGTTGCCAGAATATTCCCTCCACTGTGGAATGTTTATGATCAAAGAGCGAGATGAGAAGGGCAGGAACAAAGAAGCCTGTGTGTGTGGTATGTAGAAATTTACCTCCTTGTGCCAAAAGCAAAAACTCAGTCCCTGGATGAGAGGTATAGTAAATAGTTTGCAGCAACCACACAAATGACTGAGTAGACACTGACCAACACAGCAGAGGTTGTGAAAGAACTTGTGTGGTTTCCCCCACTCTGTCATCATCAAGTGTGTTGGATTTCAGCTCTGTCCATCACTTCTGGAAGATGTTCAGCTGGGAAGCTCCAGTTTTGCTGGAATTTGCCCTGGAGCTCCAATGGTTCAGGGAATATGGTAGATCTCTGACCATATGCCGGGAGTCTTGTTGCCATCTACAAGCCTTCAGAGTAGCTGCAGCACGAGTCCCTTGGAGCACGTTCTCTGAGAGACAGTGGAGGAACTGAACTATGAAGATATCTCTAGCTGCTTCTAGTAACACCTGCATGGGTAGGTGGCACGGCATTATCTCTTTAGAGCAGGAGCCTCCATCCACTTTTGGGCCAGTGGAAACATTGGGAATTCAGAGAACATGTCATGGGGACTCCCACAAAGTGACTGCCATGGAAGTCATGGTCAGTCACAAAACATCCACTTATCAGAAGGTAACATGCTAGAGTTTTTCCCTGCCACCCACTTTAGCCTCCCAAGATGCTTACCTTTATCTTTTCTCTGGGCACAAGGTGAAACAGCTGTGGTCGTCCACATTGTTATTTTCTTGGGATGCCTCTGGGGTCTTTGGGGTCTCTGGGGTCTTAGAGTCATTCTTAGAAATAAAGATAATGCTTGATGCTGACATTTTACAACATAGTAACTTCTAACTGATTTTTATGAAATGAAAACAGTGAGAAAATGAATCAGAGATACATGTTGCTAGTTAGTGCCGGGGAGGAGTTGCCAGGCATGTTAGCATCCATAGGCACCATAGGTTTTAGGGTATAGGTCCAAGGAAGGCTATAGTCACCCTTATATATAGGAATTATAAGGTGGATCCTCTGCTGGAGAACATTCAACCTAGCCACGCAAAGAAATAATATTTTATCTGGTTCACACATACTCTTTTCAAGTGACCCTTATTGCCAAGGATCTACTCCATTCTTGAAGAACTACCCAGTCACTTGGTGCTCACAGTTAACAAAGTCTCAGAATAATTGCAGAATCTTCTTTTTAATTGTACTTCCATTGCTCTCCTTTTCCACAGATATCTCCCTTGTTTTGAATTATAGATGATAAATGTCTTAGTGGGGAACTGGCTATTTCTGTTTTGTAAGGTAGCTCCAGAGAGTGGCAAACTTTCACAACAAGGCCAAATGGAAGGGTCACCCCCAGCAAAGAGTATTCAAGGAGATTCAACCCACTCTATGCCCGGGCCCCCCCATATGTGTTTGTGGATGTTAGTGTTCTAATAAATGTTTCCCCTGGCATTTTTTCTCACCTGACATTTTAAAAAAGCTTAGTTTTCATTTAATTTTACAATAATTAATGGGAAGGTGGTATGTAATAATCATGCTAACACTGATCACAAGGGGGGGAAAAAAAAGACATGATCTTTTGAAGGCTTAATAGTTGCTTTTGGAACTAATTTTAGTAGCTAAAAGTGCATAACATTCTGTTTCTAAGGACCAAGCTCTACATTATAATCCACAAAATCAAGCTGAAGATCTTAGCCTGTGGTGTATCATTTCAGGCTGCAGGCAATAACTTGTACCCTTACACATCTCCCCTTGAAAAAAAGGCTTCTTGCCAATAAAAAAACGAATGTATCAGATATGAGTTAAAGGCAATCATTTTCCTTGATTTTCTAAGGAAAAGTGCTACTAGGAGTGAGACTCACTTTTTCAAGCAGTATCTGTTGGCCTTTGTTGCCTTTCATCTGTGTGCAGTGGAACCCAGCAAGCTTCTCCTTCTCCTGAGGCAGAGCATTGATCCCTCTAACCCAGCCTTGTCAAATAGAATGGCGTCAGCTCTCTGGAGTTTCAAGCTAGGAATCTTCCAGGATTGACTGGCACCAGGATCTGAATTTGGGCTGCCCTTCATGCCAAACGTTGTTTTAACCATTGAATTATGCTCTTCTACTTTCCCCCTTCCCAAAGTCTCTGCAAAGTCTTCTTTGGCTTTGCTTCCCCACTTCTAGCTTTATATATGATGCTAAATCAGGATTCTTGAAAGCAGGGTTTGTTAAATAAGCCATTGTCGATTTGCACATAAGATATGGATTGGTGTACATATCATTCAATGGTGGGCAAACTGAGGCTCTAGGGCTAAGTGGATTCCCTAACTCCTTTTTTGTGGGATCTGAGCCCCTTGAACCACAACTGCTGAAATACAATGACTTGACTTTTTACCATTTTGAGGCAGAAAACACCAAAGCCGGTAGTGTAAGCCCCACAAAAGATATAATGCTTTAAAAAATGCAAAATATTAAAACTTCCCTCTAAACTTAGGAAAAAGCTCCCCAAAACTTAACCATACCCATGTGTACATATAGCCTCATCCACTTTAAATCAAGGCCCTTGCCCACCCCAACAATGAGCAGTGTGGACTCCAGAATGTTTTCTCATTTGAACTTTTGACATGTTCAGGAATGCACTGTAAGTGGCTCTTTAATTCATGTGCTGAATATCTTAAAATGACATTCCTGGTAGAAATTCTGGATGAAGTATTTTATATTAGTAATCTAGATACAATTTTCACTTTTCTTTAAGCTTTATTTGAGAACAACTTTGCAAATGCATGTGGAATTTCTTGGCAACATTCGGAGCCTTTCTGATACTTTTATGGCTAAACGTGATGGTAAAAATAACAGATTTTTATTGTGTCCTGTTGGAGAGACTTTGTAGCTACACAAGGGGGATTTGGATCATGGTGCAGGAGGCAAAATGATAAATAGTTGATTTTTAGAATATATGATATTTCTGTTCTACCTGTATTTGGATTAGACTAGCCATCTGGTGCATTCCAGGTTTCTGTAATTCCTGAATTTCCATCAATGTGGTTTCAGAAGGCTATCCAAGCTATTTAAGTAGGATTTTTGTAATTAGTGTATCATTTCAGGATTTCTCTCTTAATGAGTTAGTAAACTGGAAATAATGTTTGGGATTTACTCATCTATATATTTTTATACATTGCAACCCAAGAAAATAAGGGTCATCTTATAAGTACCACATCAGGCTATTACTTACTTAATCATCGAGAGGAACACGAAACAAAATCCTATTGGAGTGAATAAAGGCATTTTTAAAGAGGATGATTGACCATTTCAGGTAGGGAGGATGACTTCAAATGAAGTAATGATTAATAAAGGATCTGGGGTCCTTTGGACTAAACAATAAATGGCTCCCAGGCCCTTTGAGGATCCATATTGTACCTACTCTCTTCTGTTTGGTATATCTTCACAATCACTTTGCAAGGTTGATTGTTATCTCATTTTTGCCTTTGAGAATGGAAGCTAAAATGTTCAGTCGATTTAATGTGCATTTAAAATCCAACTACTTTGCTAAGAGCAGCCATGGCTGAGCTCTAGTTTGAATCCGAATGAAGTGTCCTCTTCAATGATGAGACCTGAACCCCAAAGTTAACTTAAGCCTCTATCTGCAGTGTTCCTTAATCCTGAGGGGAATCATTTGTACACCATTTATCTAGCTGGACTTTTGGAGGTACTCAGATTTTTTTGTTTACAGTGAACCTACTGTCAAAATCTAGTCCTCATGAACTTGCATTGCAACAATCATGCGACCATTCAGACCTTCTAAGAAATATTAAGGCAAAACACCTCTCTGTGTTTCTGAGAAACACTCCATGTGTCTGGTTCATCACAAATGCAGCAGAAGCCAGGCCTATACAAGCCTCCTTAACCATATGGCTCTGGGGTATACAAATTATCTTTTAAATAAGTAACTCAGGGAGCTAGATATTTTAGCTGGAACATAATGCTTTTTGTGTAATCTGAAACAAAGCTGCTCATCTCAAGAAAGCAAGCCCTGCAATAATTCCAGTTTTTTTAAAAGAAGATTTTCCCTCTGGCATTCTAAGAAAAGCAAGCAAGCAAGCATTTAAAAAAAAAAGTATGAAATCAGTAGCTGTTCCCCATCTGTGTCCTGCCAACTCACAAAGCATTGTGATTCTAGAAGGTGCTGTGCAGATGATCTGCCCAGTGTCGCCTCCTTCCTCTCCCTTTCAGACATTATTGCCAGGTTTTGCAACCACCATTGTGATGATTGGTTGAAACTTATGGTACCACCGTCTTCAGCTCTGGCTGTGACCCACCCACTTTCCCATTTCCAATTAAAAAACGGACCAGGAAGAGTCACTCGTCTCGCTCGCTCTCCCACTCCCACCCCCTTCAGATAAGTTTTCCCAGAGAAGGTTTGATGTTTCTCTCTCTGATGAGGTCAGGGAGCTGATCTGGAAGCTGCTGTATCAGCAACAGGATTAAATCTTTCTTGGCACCGCACCAGTTAAAGGACTAATATTGTCCAGTACATACAACTGCTGGTCAGCGTGTCCTGGCCTTGCCTTTCTGGAAATCATGCAAACGCAACCACAGAACTCTGAAGCATTTAAAGAAACTGAGTCTGGTCCATGTGTTCATGGACTCAACTCCACTTCATAATGCATAGAATATTTTTTGTACAGCCCACGTTTCTAGTTCATTCCTATCATTCAGTTGTCGAAAGATATGCACAGGAGATAAGGATGGAGGAGAACATTTATCCTAAGTACTGAGAGCTTGATAGTGATAGTGATGGACCGGAGGTGCTGTGAACAAAGTGGTCAGAAAGAAGGGTTATTCAGAAGGGACCCTGGATGATTACAAAAGCATCCTGTCATCAGTAAGCTAATTGCCACAGGAAGATACATTTGTTTGCTTGTTTTACTCATTCCCAAAGGTGTTGGGTGGCTGGCAACCTTGACATAAAATAACACCCCCCCAACAGCCTACACACACACACACACACACACACACTGTATGTGTGTGTGTGTGTCTATATCTGTATCTACGTAAAAGTAATGAAATCATGTTATTGATTCATGACACCCATGTTAGAACTTACTCAACTGATCAATTATTATTCAGCTGTTTCATCAGTCTGAAGTTCTTTTGTTTGAGAATAGATACCTTAAACACAGATATAGTATCCCAAGAAAACAGATTTCTACAGCTGCATCTAGTGGCCAGAAGCAAACATTGTAACTTGGGGGTTTAATTGTCTCGGCTGTTCAGATTCCATTCAGGAAGTGGCAGAAATGAACACAAAGGCTTTCAAACCCAAAGGAGAAGCCACTGGAACCAATGTCCTGGCTGGAGGCTAGTCTAAAGACTAACAACCTCTTTGCCACTACACACAGTACAGGTTACAGTAAGGACACTTGGTGAAAAAGGAATTTTGGAATAAAAAAAGATTGAAATACTAAATGAGCAAAGATGGAGTAGCGTTCTGGATTTTTGCAATCTGGATATGGTAGTTCTATTCAGAGTTGCCAACCTAAAACAAATGCAGAGGTGCTTGAATATTTCAAGCAATGGCATATCTTGTTATAAACACTGTAGGAGGAGAGCAGTGTTAGTTTATGGTGGCAAAAAATCAGGAGGAGTTTGCTAGCACCTTTTCTGACTAACTCATTTTATTAAAAGATGTAAGCTTTTGTTAGCTGCAACTGATTTCATCAGATGACTAGAGTGATTAGACCAGTGTTTCTTAACCTTGGGAACTTTAAGATGTGTGGACTTCAACTCCCAGAATTCCCCATGGCTGGCTGTTCCCAAGGTTGAGAAACACTGGATTAGACTGAGGCAGAATTTAAACTAGGGTAAGGTAGGGCAGGGAGGGAGGACCAGACTCCTGATTTACCTTGGTCATTTTAAAACTTGGACTTGGTTGAGGGTTATAAGAGAAATGCTCTTTATTATAGAATAGTTTGCTTCTAAAATGAAGTAATAAAATGAGAATCTTTAACCACCTTGTCTATGTTTATTCAACCGCTCCCTGACTCAACATTCTTAAAAATAGACAACAACATCTGCTCCAGCTTTAACAGTTGCCTTAACTTTAATGAGTGGATGCCTTGAGCAATTTCATTTTTTTCCAGGCTCAGGGTTAGGTTCCTTTAATGAAAAGCAGAGATCTGCTGTGCTGAAACAAAATCCACAGCTCTTCTTTCTGATCATGTTGTGTACAGACCCCTATGATTTTTACCTTGTTCCCTTTTGGTCTTGCAGGATCCTTTTACAGCATTCCATCTGGACCAGAGTCTAGTGAGAACACACTTGAAGCCCTTGTTCATTGGGGAGCTTGCAGCAGACCAACCCAGTTTTGAACCCGGCAAAAATGTAAGCTTTTCTTAGAACTGCTTTGAGAAGGAAGTCTTTGTTGGTGTTAGGACAAATCGGCAGTGAAACTTGGGAACAAGGTCAAAGATACCTTTCTCTGATGGCCTGTCCGAAATGGGAAATACAGAAACATATTGTAAGGGGGAGTGGGGTAAGTCAAGAGGCAGTTTTCAGATGAGAGAAGAGAGGGTAGTGCCAGAACAAAAGAGGGGAAAAGCCAGACAAAACAAAAATAATCAATCAGAGCTTCAACGTGGTGGCAAGATCTAGGAGATGTTTGGAGCGAGAAATCTGAAATGTTTAGAGATGCAAAATGTCTCATATATTCACAGGTGCAGCTTCAGAGTGAAGAATTTAGCTTGGAATGATATCTCAGTGGGAATGAGTTTTCTAAAAAGTATGAACATGCACATAGCCACACATTCTTTATTACAGGGATTATTTTCAGAGTCTTTTGGTGTGCAACTAGAATAGAGATGGATCGCTCTAACATATACTAAGTAGGTCCAGGACAAAAGCCACATTTGACTTTAATTTTATCGACATAAAAGTTGATTCAATTACTTGCCAAATGGATATTGAATAATTTTCCCTTTCTATGACATTTATTGTTACATATTGGTCATAATTTTTGGAATACTTTAAAGGCTTCAGACTTTCGTGGTCTTCAGAGGTTCCCATGGCCCAAGGCATCAGGTTGTCCACTTCTGATTTAAAAGGTTGCCTTCGGAACAAAGGAAGTATAACACTGTGTTTCTCCATAGAAAGAACTCGTGGAGGACTTCCGTGAGCTCCGTGCCACCGTTGAGAAGATGGGACTACTGAATTCCAACCATCTCTTCTTCCTCCTGTACCTTCTTCACATCTTGCTGCTGGATATATTAGCCTGGCTCAACATGTGGTACCTTGGAACATCCTTGGTGCCATTCCTCATCACCGCCTTGCTACTTGGGACTGTCCAGGTAATCTGTTGATGAGATGAAGCAGAACAGAGTGTGAAGCTTCAACAAATTGAAGATTTGTGGTAACTTTAGACCTCTGTGAGAAGAGGGATCTATCTGCATTACCCTTATTTTCTAATTCAGTTTTTCTCTCCAGATAAGTAAATATGTAATCACAGCTCCTTTCAGTTGATCACCCTTGGTTTCCCATTTTGAACAATTGTGTCCATTATCCTATGCTCCTTAATGCAAAGAATACCCCTCCAAATATGTTAGTAATGTTATTTTTTTCTTCAGATCTCTTTGGAGTCCACATCTCCATGAAGCTGTTGGTTTAACTCCTCAGCTCTAAGTCCATCTACCTATCAAACTTGTTTATTGTATTACCCAGATCTCTCCTTCTCTCTTCTCCCCACTGTCAGCCTTCAATCTGTAACCTTCTGAGAGCAAAGACTTTCATTTTTCTTGTTACATTGTAAAGCACCATGAACATTCATGGCATTGTGGTAATACTAGCAATATCAATGTTTTCCAGGCCCAAGCTGGTTGGCTGCAGCATGATTTGGGACATCTTTCTGTCTTTGGCAAGTCTAAATGGAACCACTGGATTCACAAATTTGTGATTGGACATTTGAAGGTGAGTGCAGAATAGGCTTTGCGCTTAGCCATTGCACAGCCTTTGGAGCTCAAGAACAATTGGGCCCCTTGCACTCAGATTTTGTTCTGTCTACGTAAGTCAGAAAATAAATATCCGAATAGGCCTTTTGTCTTTGTCATTGTTTTGCAGGGAGCACCAGCCAGCTGGTGGAATCACTGGCACTTCCAGCACCACGCTAAACCTAACTGCTTTTGCAAGGATCCTGATCTCAACATGCACCCTTTGTTATTTGCACTAGGAAAGATACTCTCTGTAGAGGTGAGACTCGTGGGACTTTGGGAGTGTTGTGAGTAGGGAAAGTTTGTGTATGAACTGAAGCATCAACTCTTTGTGGAGCCCAAACATAACGTTTAGACCTACAGAAGTTGTTACCAGTGTGTACTTTTGAATGTGACAGAATGGAAAAATAGTCAATTACATGACTGGGAGAGTGTTCACTTAACCATATTAACTAGAAATGAAAGTGAGAGTTTCAAAAAGTCAGTTTCTGTCCTGGGCCTACCCCTTTATGTGAGTGAATAGTTTAATGTCCCTGAGGTTTATTTGGTCATTTAGACTGATTCAGAAACTTTCATACGATTTCAACTAAAAAGCATGATTGTGTAGATTTATGTGAATACTGGCCTTTTTCGTATATATTTGACATAAAGGCATAGTGGGTGGGATTAGTTATAATTGCTGTTGGTCTAAATTACAGCTTTAAAAACAGTAAAAAGACTATCAATACAGTGTGTTGATTTTAAAACTTTTGAACTGGCTAAGTTTTAAGTAACATAGAAGTAAGGACAGCTGACTTAAAATAAATGAAAATATGGGAAATCTGAGTGACAAATGGGATGCTTTTTTTACTTCAACTCAAAGCTTCATATGAGCATAGAATACCAGGGGTGAAGGTACTTTCCAGTTTGTTTCGCAAAGGGTCACATGTATGACTGTTTGCCCTTTGGGCTTAAGTTGTGGGTTTGTTGTCAGTGCCATGAGCTTTTGGCTCTCAGGGAGCAATTTTGAAATCAATGTTGTAGAGCTGGAGATGTTTAGACAGCCAGAGAGGTACATACACCGAATCCTCAGGAATATGATAGCTCATTTCACTCCCAGGAGGAGAGCTCCTTTTTTTTCAGGGAGAAAGAAGGTCTTAGGGAAGGAGGATATCGTTTCAGAGAAATGTTCCCAGGGAAGGGACCTAATCTTCAGACAAATGCAGTCAAGCCATCTATATCTTCTCATACTGAGAACATTCCGCCAGGGGGACTGAGTTTGGTTGTAGGCGATTTGATCATTACAGAAACACAGACAGATGGTTTATGATGGGTGTGTGGTCACAGTGACCTGTCTGTATGGTACAAAGATTGCAGATGTCACCCAATACCTAGATAGATGCTAGAAAATGTTAGAGAGGAGGCAGTGGTTGTGGTCCAGGTTGGTTTTAGTGACATGGGAAAATGTGTCTGGCCAGTCCTGGAAGCTAAAGTAGCAGAATTTCGGTGTAGAATTGCTAAGGTAGTTTTCTCAGAAATGCTATGTTTCACACACAGCAAGACAGGCAGAGTGTGGGCTTTTTAATGCATGGATGACTTAGTGGTGTCAGGCAGAAAGGTTTAGTTTTGTAGGCATTGGAGAACCTTTTGGGAGAGGCTGAACCTCTACAAGAGAGATGGGCTTCATTTGAACCAAAATGGAACCAGACTGCTGGTTCATAACATCAGAAAGGTATCAGAACATCTTTTAAACTGAACTGTGGGGGTAAGCCTACTGGTGCTGGGCAGCATCCAGTTTGGAAGGGTGTAAATATTTAGGAAATACTGTTAGGATCAATGTTGGAAGAGGGGTTATGGGTAGTCATGGCAGTCAGGAAAGGAAAAAGAGATAAAAACAGGGAAAAAGACTCATGCCAGCAACATTGTCAGAAGTCCCTGACCAAGATGGAGGAATTGGAGAACTTAGTTTGAACAAGAACATAGATATAATGGGTATAATAGAAACCAAATAGGACCCAGTCATTGTTGGATACAGTCTTTGTAGAAAGACAAGGGAAGAGCATACAGGGAGGTTTTGCTCCATGTATCCAGAAGGGTATCTAGTCAAATATAATTAAAAATATTGGAAGATCAGATTCCTCCATAGAATCACTATGGGTGGCAATACGAGTACATTCATGCCTAGGCGATGAGTCAGAACTACATATCTAGATATCCTCAATGATTTTATTTTAAAATAGTGTTGGGGAAGAGTAGAAAGAAAGCTTTAGATTTAATTCTAAGGCGTCATGGTGATCTGGTGTTTCTACTGTTGAATCAATAGAAAACAGTGACAGTAATGGTATTACATTTAGCACATCTACAAGTGGAAAACTGCCAGCATGATGCACCACAGTCATATTGACTACAGTCCATCATCTGGGGATTCTCTTAGTCCTGCTAGAAGAGCAGATGGAGGTTGTGGCCAGAAGGACCCTCATGTAGCTTATTTTTTTACACGAGTTGCAACAATTCCCAGATTGGGAAATCTTTGCTGTGGTCACTCACCCTTGTCACTTCACATTTTGTCTACTCACTCTATGTAGGGCTTCCCTTGAAGACCAGATAGAAGCTGTAGCTGATCCAGTATAATGGTCTGGGTAATAACAAACTCAGTTTGGTTTGATCTGCCTATCTGGTCTGTTGATCACCTCTAGTATGGGAGCTGCATTGGTTGCTGGTCATTATCTTTAAAGCTTTTTATGGCTCAGGACATGGGTAACTTTGAACTTCCATGTGGAAACTGCCCATCAAGTGAAATCCATTAAAGCCCTCATGATAAATAAATGATATCGCTAGAATGTATATTACAGCATAAAAAAAGGTTAACCAAGTTCAGGAAAGGCTTTCTAGCAGTGAAAGTTAAGGCTTCCTTCAGGAAAAACTGTTCTAAGGAAGAGAATGAAAAGGAGCATAAACTCTGACAGAAAAAGTGTTAGGTAATAATAAGGATTTTGAGGAGCATATGACAAAAAAATATAAAGAGGAATAATAAGAACTTCCTGAAGATGGGCCACTAGACAACAAAAGAATGAATGGGATACTCAAGGAGGATATGAAGTTTATCATTACAATTATTATTTTTGCATCTTTTGTTGGTTCAGATGATACAGGATAGACAATGGATCTTGTATTGACTTTCTTAGGAGGGGTGTTAGAACAACTAAAACAATTGGAGGTAACAAGAGAGGATATTGTAGGTCATCATCAGAAACTACACTAACAAATCACCCGGTCCCCACTGCATTCACCTAAGTATTCTTAAAGAACATAAAGGTGAACTTGTTGATCTTTTAGCAAAAATATGTAAATGCTACTTACATCAAGTTCAATGGACTGGATAGTAGCCAACATAACGCTAATTTTTAAAAGGGAGATCCAGAATATTATAGATCAATCAGTTTCATGTCAGTTCCAAGTGAATTGGTAGAAATGATATTCACAGAAAATGTAACCAGGTACATAAGAGAACAGGCTCTGCTGAAGGAAAATCAGCCTGTATTCGGCAGAAGTAAATCCTGCCTCACCAACCTTGTAGGATTTTTTGAGAATGTCAGCATGCTGTAAACCTGAATATAAAAAAAGTGTTTAACAAAGTTTCTCATCAGAGGTGCTTGAGAAAACCTAGCAGCTAAAGATAAGAGGACTTTCCCTTGCTAGATTGCTAATTGGTTAAAATCAGAAAGCAAAGAGTAGGAATAAATGGGCAATTTTCTCAGTGGAGGGAGCTAAGATCTGTGGCAAGTGGTGAGCTGGCCAAGGATGCACATTATGCTAAATTGTTCAGGATAGTAACAAACAAAAGTGTTGGGGATACCCTAACTTACAAAGAAGGCAACTGAGAAAGAACATGCCTGAACACGTAAAATCATGTGTAATGTGGAGAACATGGACAGGGAGAAGTTTTCTCCTTCTCTGAAAAGACTAGGACGAGGAGTCATCCTGTAAAGTTGCTTGGAAGGAGACTTAAAAGAGACAAAAGGAAGCACTTCTTTGGACAATGCGTAATTCACCTGTGGAATTCCTACCACAAGGCTGCACCGTAGCAACTAACAGGTTGATTTAAAAGAGAACTGGATACATTCATGGAAGACTAGTCTATTAGTCTGGAAGACTCAGTGTTATCACCCAGCTGGGGGTGGGCATACAATGTGCAAGGGGAACAGCAGTGGAGACCATTAGGTTTCCATGCGCTGCTTGGAAACACCTCAGAAAAATCTGCTTGGCCATTGTGAGAGACAAAATGCTGGACTAAGAGGAACCACTTAAGAGCTATTCTTAAGTTCTTACTGTATGTTTTTATCCCCAAGTAAGTATGAATAGATTTATTACTGTAGTTTCTAATGCGTTGTCTTGAATGGATTATTCATAATTTCCTTGACGACAGCAGCAGCAGCAACAAAAACCTATTAAAGGATTCTAGTTTTTTTAGGGGCTAGATTATGGATGAAAGAAATCATACAAATCCACACACAGTACCTCCTTTTAGTCTCATACTGCTTTGATTGTTTAAGTATGTGAGAGTATTTCAAATTCTTTCTTTGTCTGGGGGATCCCTTTCATCCATTAAATCTTTGTGCTAGCCAGATTTCATAGTAGAACCTCATTGGTTGTTAGCTGTCGCCTTATTTCCCTTGATAAGCCTTATTATAAGTAAAGCGATAAAGTAATAAATAAACCCTTTCTTCAACTGGTGAGAAATAGCAGGGACAGTTTACTGGTTTTAGTTTCTTTTGGATGAAAAATATTTGGAGACTGATGTCATCTTTGTAATGTTCTATGTGGACATATAAAGGCAAGGGACAAGAGAAGGGAAACAGGGACTTACACATGACAGAAAACAATTTGTGTTCCTCAGTTTCATGTTTCACCCGTCATGTGGGTTTAACTTTCCATCTGGAATCATACTGTATATCATTCTCACTTCCTTCCAAACTGACGACTGCTGTCCCCTCTTTCTTCCTTGTACACTCGTCCATCTTCTCCAATTTCAAGGAAGAGAGGTGATCATCTACTGGGAGCCACATATATATTTCCTGATCATGAGTTCCCAAGAAGATAGGGGAAGTTGCCAGGGCAATTCCCTGGAGTTCTGGGGGCTGCCTGCCTGTGAGGTGGCTCCTTCTTTTTGCTGGGAGAGTGGCTTCATTATACAGGCTGGGTGCAGATACAGACCTATGAGGATCAGCTTCTCTTGTAGACCAAGAGATTACAGCTTCCAGAATTCTCTGCCTGCATAGTCACTGCCATATTATGTATTAGCAAGTCCCCAAAACATATTGCGTGTTAGTTCTTAGAACTGCTGCACTTATGGCTTTACTGAAGAAACTGCAATTGCGTTTAGACTCTGTTCTAATCTTATTTGTGTTGTGCTGACGGATATATACACAAAATCTTTTATAGGTCAGGGCTGTGGAAACACTGGCACTGCTAAGATATCTGGAAGGAACAAGCCCAAATGATACTCCTCTTGGGACAGATGATAGAGAGTCATAGATAGACTTACGTTTACCAAGGCCTGTTTGTGCATTTATCTGGTACGATTTGTTGAGCGTTGACCTGCTATGATCCTTTCCCCCCACTCACAGCTTGGCATAAAGAAAAAGAAGTTCATGCCGTACAATCACCAGCACAGATACTTCTTTATCCGTGAGTATCATTTCCTTTCTGAGATACCCATGTTCTCAAAGATATGAGAAGAACAGAGATTGTTGTGGTTTTGCTGCCATTGGTTGAAAGGAAAAGCGAAACCCTGTTGACCTGGGAAATGTGGAGATAACTTTTTCCTGCAAAAAATGTCATCTAGTTATATTCCTGCCAACGATCATCAGAAGGAGACCATTTTTGCAGCCTGTGAACAATATTACTATGGCTGTTTCATATATAATCTCAGATGTCTCTAGCTATCAAATTATTTTTTTAATACTCTATGGCAAACTGCATCACACCGATGAAGCCTTGTATCCCAGGGTTAACACAGGCCTGGCTAGTCTATTGGTCCACCTAGCTCAATATTATCTGTATCCCATTTTAATACTTGAAAAGATGATTGATATAGATGCATATGACAAGGGAACTGAGCCATGATGAGCCAAATGGGATCTCTATGGTTACAGACAGCCTACTTATTGTGGGAGTAAATATTAGCACACTTTTTACATTCCCATCTGTTGTGCATGTGAGGCTCGAGGTTTGATCCATTAAAAACAATTCTTAGGTCTTCCTGACATTTAGACCTAGTGAGTGAGTATGTAACTCTTCTCTGATTTGCAGGGAAGTCAAACCACTACTTCTGAATCTTGACAAAGTCCCCCTCCCACTCAATAAATAGGGAATGGAGAAAGTGAGATCAGTACCTTCTTTACATATGAAACTGAGCTGTCCTGTCCCTTGCTTTGAGTTGATTTCACTTAGGCATGTATCTTTTCATTCTTCCTTAGTTGGTCCACCAGCTCTGGTGCCTTTTTACCTGCAGTGGTATATTTTCTACTTTGTTGTTCAGCGCAAAAAATGGGTGGTAAGTAGGATGCCTGAATTCAGCTTTTTCAGTTCACCCGCCCTGACGTCAAGAGAACACATTTCTTCTAGTATCACCTACTCATTGTTTCAGCAACTCACAAATCTATGCTGGATAGCTCCCATAGTCCCTCTTGGCTTTCTCATTCCATATCTTACATGGAAGGTTTAAAATTTTATGTTATATTTGTTTGTCTATCTATCTATCTATCTATCTATCTATCTATCTATCTATCTATCTATCTATCTATCTATCTATCTATTTATATCCATATGTTGTTTTCTCCCTGAAACCGAGAACATCCAGTGACAGCTGTAAAATCTGCTGCTACCTGTTACATTGGAGATGAAGTCAGGTGACCAGTAGCAAAGAGGATCCGGATGGTGCTTATTGGCCATTTCAGCTGATGCAGGCATGCCCCTTCCCTGCTAGTCACAGTCAGCCTTGCCTCTTCAATTCTGCTATTGTCTCCCTAAAGAGCTAGATCCAGCAGCATGGTGCTGGTGGTCCACTGCATTTCCATGGTACAGCTGTCTTGCTTAGTATGGAATCCTCTTTGTGTTCCTCTGGCAATCCCATTCTAGCTGTGTGCAAATCATTCCCCACTGCAAACACATATTTACCAGTATGGCACAATATGACATACAGACGGATGTTGCCATTTAACTTCCTCCATGGAGTGGTGGAAGCAATTGGTTGCTAGCCAAGCTCTGTCTCGCTATCCTCCTCCCCTGTTGCCTCCAATTATGGCCTGCTTAGAACACAGTCCTACAATTTATGGTCCTTATATCAGGGGATTGAAAAGTGAGTAGTACTGAAGAAGATTGGCTAGCCTAACTCGCTTAATTAAATGTAGTTTTTCTTTTTTAATTGAGCTTCAAGCTTATGCTGAACTTTAATGAATGTGAAATTCACACTTCAGGCCATGGGATGCTTTAGGAAGGGATTATATTTCCACTGTGGCTCACAAAGGAGGTTGCATTTCCATTGTGGCAAAATAAAGGGGGCCACAACAAAAATGTGGGTGGGTTTTAGGGCTCTACAGGTGCATCTTGGTGGGGAGGAGCTATCATATTCTATATGATAGAATATTTCTCTGTTCTTTGTGACAGGATTTGGCTTGGATGGTGACTTTTTATCTCCGGTTCTTCCTAACTTACTCATTTCTACTAGATCTCAAGAGCCTCTTGGGTCTCTTTCTCCTGCTCAGGTAAGTCTTATTTGATCCCACACTTTTCCTGATTTCTTTGGGTTGCCATACCATGTTCTTGTAGGCAAAGGTAAGCATATCAGCCTTCTCCAGCCACATGAATTGGCCTTCGAATTCTCCAATTCCCAGGACATTGTAAGAGTTGATTTCCCACACAGTTGGAAGGACACCAGTTGGGGAATAAATACACGCATCCACACTCAGAGCCAAACCCAGAATTTTGCTTTTTGTCTCGCTTGCCTGTTCTAGACCAGGAATGGAGTGCCTCAGCCTTCCCTGAGAGGGATGTCATGGGATGGAGTGTGTTCATGTACAATGCCTTTTTGCATCCATAGATGCACTGGGTCTTCTCAGAGTTGCTCTTCAGCAGATGGCAACACCTAATCAACCTTAGTTGATCTTGGAATGTAAGCAGGGTTGACCTTAGTTATAGTACTTGGATTGGGGACCCCCTGGAAGTTTCAAGGCTGTTGGTTAGACTTGGAAGTTTTTAAGACTTCCTGGAAGAAGACTGTGACAAATCCCTTCCCTCACATTGCCAAGAACATGGCATAGATATGGTCATCTGGAGTTGAACTCCACTAGAATATGTCTTTGTCTTTCTTTTCCTTTTAATCAGACTCAGGGTCAGGGCCTCTTCTCACATCTTCCCAGCCATTATACTGACACACATTTTCTTAGTGGAAAACTAATGCTAAATAGCTACACTCTGAGTCTATTCTTACCATGCATATAGATTGATTTATTGATTATGTGCCATCAAGTTGTTTTCAACTCTTAGTGACCACATAAATAGATTTCCTCCATGAGAATATAGATTAATCTGCTCTAATTCACAGGGACGTCTGCAACCCCAAAACTGGAATTCTTCCTCTCCTAACAATGAGAGAACCAATTTGGTGTAGTGATTAAGGTGCTGGGCTAGAGACTGTGAGTTATAGGCCTCCCTTAGGCATGAAAACTGGTTGGGTGACTTTGGGCCAATCACTTTCTCTCAGCCCAACTCACCTCACAGGGTTATTATTGTGGGGAAAATAGGAGGCAGGAACATTATGTACGCCGCTTTGAGTTGTACAAAATAAAGGCAGGAAATAATAATAATAACAACAATAATAATAATAGAGGTTCTTAATATGCCACAGTCTGTAAGATCCTTACTGTGAACGAATCTGCAGTGAGTGATCATGAATGTCTTTGGTAGCTCATTTTTTGCTAGCAAAGAGTGTATCTCACATTTGGTTAGTTTTCTTTTGCTTAATTTTTTTTCTAGTTACATTTTCCTCCTAATTCTGCTCCTCTCCTGGTGTTTCTGGGCTACTTGCAAACTGCTTTGATTATTTGTACTTTTGAGTAGGCTGTCGTTTGGGAAGGTGGAAAAATTATAATCTCTTTTTTTGCTGTGTAGAGTCATAGAAAGTCACTGGTTTGTCTGGGTGACACAAATGAACCACATCCCAATGGTCATTGATTATGATAAGAACATGGACTGGCTTTCAACCCAGGTGAGATGCACATCCTCCCCACCCCATAGTTAAAGTATCTACTGAAGTATAAATGCAGTGTAATAGATGGGGAGGAAGAAAGCAAAAAGGAAAAATAAAATGGCCTGAAAAAGAAGTCCGGTGTGAGGCAAGAACTGCCTGACCTCGAGCTTTGATAGTCTTTAGATCAGACTATGATGAAATAGATTTTGCCCCTTAAAATCCAAATAAAAACATCTGGAGATGCAGGTCAAGACTAGCTTCTGCCCTGGGACAAAAGCACTCCACAGGACTGGTCAGGTGCCTGCAGTTCCTTGAGAGGCTTTTGGGGTTGAGATCCAGTTGAGATTTCCTGCTGCTCTTTGAGATTACAGAGAGATTACAGATTACAGATTGAGAAATAAGGTTTATCATTTAAGGAATAGCCGCATGGGTTTGGTTTTTTTTTTTGCCAGGGATTACAGATTACAGATTAAGAAATAAGGCTTATCATTTAATGAATAGCCGCATGGGTTTTTTTTTTTTTGCCAGGGATAGGATGATCAGAGTCCCTGCAGCCATACCCTAGAAGGCATATGTTAATGTTATTGCTTCAGTGCTGGTTTTCTGCAGTTCACACTGCAAGTGGAAAGGCATATGTTTTTAATGGTCTTGACAGCATCCATGTGGGTGTAAGTTGTTCACCTTGCCCAGCTATCCCTTAGTGAAAAATGAGGGATTCCTTGTGAGTGCAGTTCAGGGCCAAATTAGAAGGCAAGCTGGGGTAGGAACTCCATGGTGAGTCCTTTGTGAGCAGAAAGCTGATATGATGATTGCAACATTACGTCTTGTCTCCACTTTCTAGGATCATGATTTTATTTGTGCCACAGAAGGGTTGGCCTCTGAATTAGAGCTAGGCTTAGGTTCTGCTTTCCCGGAGTGAAATAAAAGTTATATCCTTAGAATAATAGCGTGGTTCACTTTATAAATGTTCTGCTTATAATGGACTTATCATGGAGTTCTTACACTGTGTCTTTATTTTGGGCCAAAGTACAAAGCTCTCTGTTTGTTCTAAAATAAAGCTTGAGGGACAGATGCAGGCATGGAAATGTCCAGCTAGAAGTGAATTCAATGCATTCTCATAGTTGGCCTATCTTTCTTCCCTTTTCAGCTCCAGGCAACATGCAATGTAAACCAGTCCTTATTCAACGACTGGTTTACTGGGCACCTCAACTTCCAAATTGAGCACCAGTAAGTACATTTTCCTTAGGGGAAATAGAAATTTGGGGAGGGGGAATCACAGTTTCAAATATTAGATAACCCAAAGCCTAGAAAATAAAGGGGATCTATTCCATGTTGACGTGACAAGCATCATTCATGAATTACCCACGATGGCTGCAGAAAGGGGTACAAGTCCTGTAACTCTTGAGCTGTGGCTGAACTACAGCATACCTCACAGATAGCCATCCTGGCTGGGGCTGCAGGGAACTGTGGATCAGCCCATCTGTAGTGCCATCCTGCTCTAGCAAGTGATCTTTTTGGATGCTGAAGAGGGCATTAGGACTCACCTTTGCTTTTTTCTTCTTCTTGAAAAGCAAGGCTAATATTACTTGCATGCCATCCTCTATAAATACTGTGCTTATAATGTTGAAAAAAATCTTTCCAATTCAATTTTCCCTCAGATATCTAGGGTTTTTTGTTTGTTTGTTTGTTTTGCTCCATATCCCCATGGCACAGTCACCAGCACATAAATTTATATCCCTGCCTTACAGAACAATACAAGTCCTACTATCTTATGCCATGTTATCTTACATCCCTTGGGAATCCCATTTGCCACTCAGGCTTGTAATTTATCATCAATTACGAAGTCTTGTAATCGTCACAGTTCTGTAGTGTATCCTTCAAGCTTATTTAGATTATTTTATATCCTAGACCAACTTTTCCATTCTGTATCATATACTTCTCAGTATCAAAAGAGGTTTTTGAATCAGCCTCCAGTCAAGAAATTTGGTACAGAGTGCCAATAACAACATAAACTATTTTATCCAACTGTCATCAAATTATTTTTCTGTAAAAGAAAACCACCACCATACTTTATCATTTGTTCCATCACCTAATACATAATAAGATGTCAGTTCTACTGGCCTATAAAGGGATGGAGAAGGCCAAATCTCCCCAGATTTTTCAGTAGGAGTTACAATAGCATTTTCCCAAGTTTGGGGCAACCTCCAAGTAGAGGATTTCATCCTGTGAAATTGAATTCTATTCCATTTCCTGAGCTGTCTGTGTACCATAGCTACAGGTGGATGGATTTCTCCTAGTCTTTCTGATTACCCTTCAAGTCAGTTTTACAATACTTACATTTCAAAGTTCTTTACATGCCAAATTCCATCACAGAATTAAATTCTAATTTTCCCATTGGCTTCCATTTAGATATTGCTTGATAATTGTGTTTACTACATCTTTCACTAGTTGTTCTCACCATATTTGTCTATGTCCCAATTAGCCTTTCTGAAGTTTCACATAGGAAGCTGAATGAAGAGGAAAATAAGGATTATGCAGATTAAAAATCCTCAATAAATCATCAGAATCATTCCAAGGAATATCCAGTTGACTTTCACATCTTTCATTGTTGCCTTACCCCCAAATAATTTCCTCTTTCCTGGGAACTTAACCCAAATCTTCCCACCTTCTCCTACAAATCCTGTTCTTCGTTTTTTAATCCTTAGTTCCCTTATCCCTTTGTCTGCTTATTCTCCAAATGTTCATCCTTATTTTTCCCTAAGAAAATCAAAACTGCCTCTCCCTCCTCCTTCACTCCTCCTGATATCCCAGATGTAATATCACAACCAATTTTCTCTCAACAAATCTGAATACTCCAATGAGGCAATAATTCCATTCTGTGCTTCTCTTCTCTGGCCCTGTGTGCCTTCTGCCAGCATGGTCTTCCTTCACACATAGCACCCTCTCCTCCTCTCCTCCTCAGTGTGTTGAATAGTGTGAGTGGCTGGCCTATAAAGGCTGCACCTGACTCAGTCAGTTGACATACAGACTTGCCAGGCCCCAATAGAGACAAGGATGAACACGGTTAGAAACTACATTTGTTATATTGCAGGAAACCGGAGCTATAACAGTTAATGATTTCTCAGTGAGTGGAAACAGTTCAGAGCTTTTCTGCACTACAGCAAGTTGGTCATGCAGATCAGCCCTCAGAATTTATAACCAGGCAGATTTTGAATAGTTTGCCATCCACCCTTTTTGGAGAGGAGACTTAGATTTCTTCTTATCTCTAGCCTTGCTAGCGTCAAGGATGGGTGCTTGTTTACATTCTCTTCATTCTAGGCCTCCCATTCAGATAGTTCCATCAAGTTAGATTGGAATCTTTCAGCCACTGAACCCTGACAAGACCCATGACAATAATCTGTTACTGTAGTCAAGGGAAAAAGATGGGCAAGATGTAGCCGAAGAAAGAAAACCCTGTGTGCAAGCAATCCTGGATAGACCTCTGCCTGTTTCGCTTAAGAACTCAGTCAGGCTAGGCAAGAAATGCCAGAACTATGCTTAAGCTCTTCTTCTGAACCTAGCTACTGCACAGCTCCTTTGGGAAGAGGTCACTGGGCTTGAAGGCATGGTCATTTCATTGTTACAAGAAGGGGAGCACTAGAATGCATGGCATCTTACAATTCTCTCTGTCTGTCTCTCTTTCTCTCTTTTCTTTCTTTGCAGCCTTTTTCCTACCATGCCTCGACATAACTACTGGAAGGTGACCCCCTTGGTGAAGTCCATTTGTGCAAAGCATGGCATCCAGTACCAATCTAAGCCTTTGCTCACAGCTTTTGCAGACATTGTATGGTAAGCACTGGCCCTGGTAACAAGGTCGAACCTTTTCCGCTTATTGGAAAAGCAGTTTCCTTTCTGGAAAGACACCTTTGGAACGAGTACAGAAGATGACCTTGACAGAAATATGCAAGAACTATTACCTAGGCGGAAGAGGTTGAAACATTTTTTAAGTCCAGAGAAATGAGATAACATTCAGAATCTGCTCAGGCAGATGCTGACTTGATTCACTGAACTATAAGGAGGAGAAGGAGGTACAGCACAATCAGACTTGCAATATTCTGTTCTTATATCCAGTTTTAATAAAAGTAGCTTTAGACTTCCTGTGGAGTCGATTTCATTAAGTTGCAGATTTTCAATCAATCAAATCTTTATGATGGTCATAGACCAGCATAAGGAGGGTGGAGTACAGTCAACTGAAAAGCATAGAAGATACATAAAAATTATGAGAAGCTAGAAGATATAAAAATATATATTAAAACAAAGTATATATAAAACAAGAGTCTAAAAGAATCTACAAGGTGGAGTAGGAGCATTAGATGCGTATAAGACAGCATAAAGGTTAGTATGTGGAAGACTATATCTGTCAAATTACAGAGCACTCTAGTATGGCGAACTAGATGTTCATTAAGTCTAGTTTATGGCACAGGTCATCATCCAATGAATTTTAAGTGCTGCTGCGCAGAACCTGTAACATTGTATGTTGTGGCAAGATTGGTATCTGAAAACAGCAGGGAAGTGTAGAATTATCCTGTGTGCCCTGGTTATTTATGCAGTAATGGTGAGATGAGGCTAGTACAAATGTCTCTGTAAAATACAGGCACTGTAGAAGCACATGCTCTGTTGTTTCTGTGTGTCCAGAGTCACAGGGGCATTGTCTTTCCAGGTAAGGAATCTTCCTGTATCGGCCTTCTAGGACAGCTGAGGAGAGGGCATACTATTGTGCCAGAGTAAAGGTCCTCCAGTGTTTAGGTACTTCGAGTTTAATTAAGTATGCCATAGGAGGGGCAGAGTACCTGTTGGATTCACTGGCAATAAAGGTTGGGGTTCTGGCTAGATCCAGTTGGCGCTTTGTGTCTGCTACACACTGTTTAATGAGTGCTTTGACCTGATCATATCCCATGCTGAGTAGAAGACCTGCAGAGAAGCCCAAGAATGAGATTTTACTTGCCACTGCCTGTTTCCATGTGGATTGAAAATCATCACTCATAGTTAATGGGGCAAGGCCATGGGAAAAAAAGGGTAGTCTGAGCCAATAGTTGAGCATGGTCACCCACACTCTAGCCTCCACTTTCATGAGGCCTGTCTCTAGTTGCAGGGTAGCATTAGAGACACATTCTGGGATTTGAAGGGCTAGAAATTTGGATTGTACAAGTTCTAATGGTGCAAAATTGAAGAAGGGGCTCAGTTGGGCACCATAGAGAAGTTGTGCTATTGGCTTGGCTTTGAATAATTTGAGTGCTGCAGGTATATAGTGGCCACCTCTTGTCTTAAGGAATTTAAGGATGGTAGATGAGCTCTTCTGTGCATTTTCAGCAATGTAGTCTCTATGGGCTTTCTTACTGCTGGCAGAATGAAAGACTACCCCCAGGTATTTGTAACAGGAGACCTGCTCTATCCTGTGGCCGTCTATGCTCCGGGAGTGGCTCTTGAGCCTTTTGGCAAATGCCATGATTTTAGCTTTCTGATAATTAATTATAATTCTGATCAGTTTAGTTTTCTGATCTAACTGGTCTTCCTTGCAGTACTGTGTTAGTATTCTCAGTGCTCTTTTAAGGCCAATAGGTCTTCTTGAAAGTATTGCTGCATCGTCTACACCATTTAACTGGAGCAGGATTGGGAAATGATTGCTGTCAAACTTAGGCAGAACTTCTAGGGCCTTGGCATAAGGGAGAAGGTCCCTAGCGACAATTATATAGTCAATTACACTCATTCTGGAGCCAGATAGGTAGGTGAATTCAGCTGGATGGTCACTTTCAAGGGCACCATTTAGAATGTGCAGGTTTAGCCTGAGGGCTGTTTGAGCCAGGCAGAGGCCTGCAAAGTTTGATTTCTGATTTTTTGAGCAGCGGATGAGGAGGAATCTGTCAGCTTCAAGGTTGGGTGGTGGACATTTGTGCTGTGCGTAGAGGGTGTGGTCACTGGGGCCCAATCTAGCATTGAATCCCCTCCCAGGACCTGAAATGCATTTGAATTCAACAGTATAAGGTCAACAGCATAAGTTTCCAGTTCAGCCCACAAGGCTGTGATCTGGAGTTTCTGCCTCACTGGGGGCATATAAGCATTTATTATCAACAGGGCATGGTGGTTGATTTGGGGGAGGGGCCTTGATATGGCATGTAGAGTAAAGGAGACTAGGACCCCAGGGCTCCTTTCACTCTTTTGTGCTTTACCCCTGGTTCTGCCTTGACTGTGAATGAGTGAAATCCATTTAGTAGCAGTTCGTCAGCAGTCCATGTTTCCTGAATCAATATGATGTCATGGTGGGAGAGGAAGTCCGTAAAACAAGGATCTCTGGTGGATGCAAATCACCCAGCCACATTCCAGGTTAGAAGGGTGACCTTATACTGGTCACTTGGATGTCAGGTGGTTGTACTGGGAACCAGGGGCTGGGTGGGTAATTTTTGCAGGGGAGGTAGCTTCACATTAGTTGATGGTTGAGATGGTTGTAATTGTGTTTCCCTCTGGGGCGGCGGGGAGGTGGGTACCATCAAGTTCTTGCTCTTCCTTGTCTGCCATCTGTTGGTCCATCAAGCCTCTCTTCTCCTCATGAGAGGCAGGGGAGCTTGTAGTTCTGGCAAGGAGACCAGAAGAATCAGGGCAGCAAAGTGTGGATAGCTGGCAAGCGGGGATCCCAACTGTTTAGCAAGGGGAGCATCCTTCGACTTGTCCAGTGAAAGAAGAGGTGAGCGGTGCTGTTTCTCCTGTTAGTCAGGTTCCCTCAAGGCCTGGGGAGGCTCCTTAGATTTGGAAGCAGATGAGGCTATACCTCCAGACTGGGTTTCTGTAGTGCTTGGCTGAGGTTTGTTTTGTTTGCAAGGCAGCTTCTTTTGGGCATCAACTACTTGGGACTGCATGGGTTCCTTGCATATTGCTGGTTTGGAGCTCTCAGTATCACTTTCATTGTTTCTGGTGAGGAAGTCAGTCTGCTGACAGCTTTCTGCATGTCCAAGTCAAAGGAGAGGCAGCGGTGTGAGATGGTTTAGAAAGTGGAACAGCTCAATGGGGCAGATGCATTAAATTGGTGTTGGACTTCCAGATCGCTACCAGCACTGGGAGGGCATGTCAGAATTTTGTTTTGAAGTCTGCTAGTTTTTTTTTCTTAGATTAATGAGTTCTGTGTTAATAGATTTAACTTCCTCCCTTGAAGTATACTTAGGCTCTTCACTCTTGGCATGGCTGGCAGATTTACTGCATTTGGAGCATAAGTTTTTATGGCTCTTATCTGCAGGGTCATGACCATTTGTCCCTTTCCCAGTGATGAGGTCGCGGACTAGCTCGTCCTTAAAGACCCTGACAGTTTGGATGTGATGAATCTGCCATAGGAATTTGCTCATTTGTGAGTCTGGTGGGGAGAGATGGCTGGTTGAAAGTCAGAGGTATGCATTTAACAATTCTTTGACTGGGTAAGTAGTGAAAATCTTTCAAATCAATTGTTCTGTTTTGGCAGTTTAGGAGATGAGATAGGGAGATCACATTTCTCTTGTGGCTATTCCATCTATGGGCATTCTGATGGATTTCTAGGAGAAGTTGCTTTTTCTGTAGCACACGGTGGTAGTTGGTTCTCACCAACTGCTTCCAGATGCCCTGCTGATGTTGTAGGACAGGCTGCCAGAATGCCAACGTGGCCAGCTTCTGTTGCCATTTTAACCCCCTGATTGCCATGGAGGATTTGCAGATCAAGGGCTTGTTGGAAGCTGTCTATCTTGACTGCAATGTCATTTAGCTGTCGCAGTGTGCCTGCAGACAAAAGACAGACCTCATGGAAAGGATGAGTAATGTAGTTGTGGGGGGTGCAGGAGACTTGTTCCAGGAGGTTATCTCCCCTACCTCCCTGCTCCAGAGAATGACTTGGGCTGAAGCTTTGGAGGGTTGGGGAGGAGGCCTGTCTTGTTCCTGACTTCTGTGTTGTCATATTCCTTTGGGAAGGGGATCCCGAAGCTGTAGATCTGTTACTCACATTTTGTGTTGTCTCTGCAGTGGGGAGATAGGAGTCAATTCTCATCTGTTTCTCTGCCTTATTGGATTTATGGACCCCAGTATCATTACTAGGGCTGGTCCAGGTTCTTTTCTTGCCTCTGGATGGCATTTTTAGGCCATAGGACTGAAGCAGAAGGGGTGAGGGCAGTCACAAGTTGGCAGCTTATTTCAGGAGCTGCTAGCTTATTGCCATCTTGGCTCCTCCCTTTGTCTTTGAATGCAATTTTAGAGTGCTGGGATTGCACAGGTATGGGTAGTATATAGAAAGGAAATGCTGATGTTCTAAGATATCCCATGCATATTTGGCTGGTGAGTAAGTGGCATGCAAACTGATAAGGACATGAATAAATCTCACATAATTACTTAGCTTCTCACAAGTCACAACTAATGTGCAAACTGAATGTTTTGAAAAGTATTGCTTCGAAATGTGATGAAAGAACTGCTGTGGTTTATTCACTGAATGGCTTATTCACACATGCAAGCCTCTATTTCATTATACAGGTAGTCCTTGGTTAACAACCACTCGTTCAGTGACTGTTCAAAGTTGCAACTGCACTGAATGATTGGTACTTACAACTGGTCCTTGAGGTTCCGACCATCACAGTGCCCCCATGGTCACATGATCACAATTTGGGCACTTGGCAACCAGCTTGCACTTACAACAGCTGCAGCATCTTGCGACCTTCCTTGCCAGCTTCCCACAAGCAAAGGCAATGGGGAAGCCAGCAGGGAAGGTCACAATTTGCTCCCATAAGTCAGTCCTGCCACTTTTTCTCCTGAGGAGCCTGCTATGGAGTATGTACTCTGTACTGCGTGCCCACCTACAGCACCCCCCCACACACTCCATAGCGCCCACTTGCTTCCATCTGTGCTCGTGTGGCACTGCGGCATCCCCTCCCCCACTGGCCACTCTTGTGTGGTGCTGTAGCACCCCCCTTACCTGGCTGCACTCACGTGGTGCTGCAGCACTCCCTCCCCTGCCCACCCATGCTTGCATGGTGCTGCAGTACCCCCTCCCCTGCCTGGCTGCACTCTATAGCACTCACCTGCCTGCCAGCCTGCTTGTGAGCTGCCTGGGACTTTGGACTTCCTGCCACCTTCCCCATTGCCTTTGCTTGTTGGAAGTCGGCAGGAAGTTGCAAATCACAGTCCCGTGAGGCCCTTGCTTAACGACCTACGATCCTCGCTTAATGATGGCAATGGGGACTGCCAGGATTGCTGTTGCTATGTGATGCAGTCAGGTGATGTCACATTTTATGACCACATCGCTTAGCGACAGAAATTCTGGTCCCAATTGCCATCATAACCCGAGGACTACCTGTATATCATTTCATGATGAATGTGAGTACATGAATAAGCCCTGTGGCTCTCTCCAGCAGATGGTACTGCATTGCTCCCTGTAATTTATTTTTTTTCAGTCCATGTTCTTCCATCCTGTACTATGCTTATATTTCTTATCCTTCCATCCACATTTGTTCATTGGTGTGCACCATAAATTCCTTGCTTGATTGTTAACTCCTGTTTGTGATTTCTTGTTCATATTGCTTGAGCTGGCTTTACCTCTCTTCTTCTCTTTCCTCTAGCTCTCTCAAGGAATCAGGGGAGCTCTGGTTGGATGCCTACCTGCACAAGTAAGAGCCAAACACCATCCCTTGGGGGACAATTCCCCATCCTCGTCATCTCCACAATTGAAGAAAGCAAGTGCCTGGTTCAGTTGGGGATGGTTATCCTTGTGAGCTGAATTCTGAAACCTGGTGTTGCTGCTCCATTGTTTCTCATGCTTCCCTTTTCTACTCATGCCTCTACCATCCCTCCATTCTGTCTGAAGATCTGAAAGTTTGTTCAGAAATGCATATTCTCCAGCCTTCGGGACCAGGAAGCAATACCAGGAAAGGCCTTCACTGCCACTTCACTAAAATTGGTGTTTAGCAAGAAAACCTTAGTTGCCTATTCCTTGTAGAGTACAAGAGCTAAGTTGTAGAAATGGTTGAAATGACAGAAGCTGGAAGGAGAAATTCAGGAGGTGGGAATAGAAATTGCCAGTAGAGAAGATTCATACTGGGGCCCATAGCTTAGCGCTGGAGAAGTTTGGAGGAAGAAGAACAAGGAGACTACAGGGGCCGAGAGTCTTGATTGAAATACAGTGGTATATAAAGGAAATTAATCAATGTTTATGAGTAGAGATCAGTCAATTCCTGAATCTAGTTCACAAGCACTAGAGACTAGTTAGGCAAGCTTAACTATTGGGAGGAAGTGAGGATTGTCCTCTGTGCCACAACTTCCTGACATTCCCGGATGTACTTTACAGAAAAGGGTAAAGAATAGCTATAATTATCCACATGCCTCTCCTATGAGCGTACAAGACAAGTTAGTGAAAGGAGACTAATGAATGTATTGTTGGAGGCTTTCATGGCCGGCATACGATGGCTGGTGTGGGTCTTCTGGGCTGTGTGGCCGTGTTCTGGAAGGTTTGTTTCCTAACGTTTCGCCACACGCATCTTCAGAGTGCAGGAGCACAGACAATGAACTTGCTAATCACCCCCAGCAGCCCCTCGTTAACAATTCAATAGAAGAAAAAACCCTGCCTAATCCCCCAATGAACTTGCTAATCACCCCCAGCAGCCCCTCGTTAACAATTCAATAGAAGAAAAAACCCTGCCTAATCCCCCAATGAACTTGCTAATCACCCCCAGCAGCCCCTCGTTAACAATTCAATAGAAGAAAAAACCCTGCCTAATCCCCCAATGAACTTGCTAATCACCCCCAGCAGCCCCTCGTTAACAATTCAATAGAAGAAAAAACCCTGCCTAATCCCCCAATGAACTTGCTAATCACCCCCAGCAGCCCCTCGTTAACAATTCAATAGAAGAAAAAACCCTGCCTAATCCCCCAATGAACTTGCTAATCACCCCCAGCAGCCCCTCGTTAACAATTCAATAGAAGAAAAAACCCTGCCTAATCCCCCAATGAACTTGCTAATCACCCCCAGCAGCCCCTCGTTAACAATTCAATAGAAGAAAAAACCCTGCCTAATCCCCCAATGAACTTGCTAATCACCCCCAGCAGCCCCTCGTTAACAATTCAATAGAAGAAAAAACCCTGCCTAATCCCCCAATGAACTTGCTAATCACCCCCAGCAGCCCCTCGTTAACAATTCAATAGAAGAAAAAACCCTGCCTAATCCCCCAATGAACTTGCTAATCACCCCCAGCAGCCCCTCGTTAACAATTCAATAGAAGAAAAAACCCTGCCTAATCCCCCATCACCCTGGGCACAGAGAGAACTGCTCCTGTCTGTGCTCCTGCACTCTGAAGATGCGTGTGGCGAAACGTTAGGAAACAAAACTTCCAGAACACGGCCACACAGCCCGGAAGACCCACACCAGACTAATGAATGTTGATTGACTTATTGTAAAACATTAGTGCAAGTAAATGCTATTAGTCTCTTGGCAAAGCTACTGATACGCTTTTGGAGGTGTAAGAGGAGAATTAAAACAAACCTTTTGGTATTGCTCATTTATTATGGCCACTTTCTGTTTCAGCTGAATTAAACTTTGTTCTCCAGAAGGGCTAAACCTCTGGCAATTGCCACAAAAGTGCAGAACTTTTCTAAGAATGAGGCATTCTTTAAGTTAATCTAGAAAAGACCTTTTCAAAGTTGACCACACTTGAATCACTAAGTCAAGGTAAAACAGCAGTCGGTGCCTTCCCGGATTCATTTATCTAACAGTTTTGATTATATTCCATATTGTTTCTTTCTGTGTAGAAATGGTCCTTGTGAGGTGCCTTTCCCCTTGAAATGGTTTTACTGCTGCTTATTCACCGAGATGGGTCTCTGCTAGATGAAACAGAGTTCTATCCTGCCAGATTTTAGCTACTGAAGATCAGTGTTAGCTGAAGATAGGGATCCCACATGCAAATGGACTCTGAGGGCAGAGAAAAAGAGAACGATCCACCGTCTCCTCCCTCTGGGTCCAAACGTGGATAACAGGGCTGTATGGCTAAGTATGCTTTATATTTTAGAAGCACATGCCTCATGGAAGCAAAAACCCTCTCTCCCAAATGGGGTTGCTTTTCAGTTCAGCCAAGGAGAATCTGCTGGTATTGGTTTTGCCCAGCACTGACTGTAGAGAGAGGAGAAGTCAACATTTGGTAGCGAAAGAAAAGAATTGTGAGATTGAGAAGCAGTGAGTCCCAGTCCGTGTTTTCCTCATGGAGGCTGATGTGATGCTGGCAGATGGAACAGGAGAGGGCGCCCTTTTGACAAACTCTTAACACTTCTGGTTTACAGAAATCAGAGGTGCAGCCTCACCAGCACCAAGAAGCCAGTCTGTCACAGCACTGATCATCAGATATTTTTTAAATATTACTTAACCAATAGATTCTCCAGCCCTGCGATACATCGTCCTTCCTCTCTTTTTCTATCGTAATTATGCAAGCATGTTCCGCAACTGATGCCAGTATTTGGTAATAAATTTCAGGGCTGAAGAAAAGGATTATTTACAAGAAACCTGGTGCGAAGCTGCCAAGGCATGGCCTCCCCAAGTGTCAGAGAGCAGTGCAACAAACAAGCTTTT